GGAGGAAGGTTAGAAGGTGGAAGGGGGTGGGGAGAGGAACAGAATGAAATACGGACCGACTAGTGTCCTGTCCATGAGATCATCTGCTGTCGTCTGATCTGGTCTCCGCAGTGGAAATCTAGATAACTTTCCTTTCTCTAGTTCTCAAGGGTAAACAAAAGAAAACTTTACTTTGGACAGAAATTGTAGTGAAACTCACCACTAAAAGTTCTCCATCATAATCTTCACGTATGATCTTCTGGAGACACCTTTGGCTGCAGAAAGAAAAATTAATAACATGAGCCTACTCACATTATTGTAACAATTAGAAGTGTGGCTCTTTGTGCTGAAAACCTCCAATATATTACAATGAAGTTTTGGGAAAAGATTATGTTCATAAACAATAGACTATGGAAGCAGAAAATGAGACAAGATTATTTCAACACCTGAAACAATGAACATGATTTCAAAAGAACACAAGAGGTCACGGAGCAAACATACAATACATACATGCACACACACTGACATAGATTAAAATGGTAATACAAAATTGTATCAATAATGTTTTTATTGCCATTAGTTCTCCCCCCCCCCCCTTTCATGAAAGCTTATTTTATGACAAAGTACAGCTCTACATCAAAATAGGATAAGAGACATAGCAACTCCATACCAGGGGTAGCTTCTTCAAACCCACACACCCACAATTCAGCAGACTTCAATCAAATGAAACAGTCACCATACTTATATGTTCTCACAGTTCAACATTATCAAGCAGATGTTATAAAAACAAAGAACAACAATTCTAACTCACATTTGAGCTCCAAAAAACTCTTTACACGCTCCGTCAACGCTTCCATCCATAAATCCAAAACTGTTCCCGGTAGAAACCTTGTGGAGACAAGCATAGAAAAACAAACACGTAGCATCATTATCATCGCAAAGCTGTGGAATAGACTCTCGGAAGCAGTATCGTTAATCATCATCATCGAAAACGGGTGGACTCAACTCTCTGCGTGGTATTACCAGCGGGTCACATCGGATAAAAGTAAAAGAAAGTGCATCATAACACTGGAAAACCGTCTGGTTAGAGTTTATTTCAAGAATCGCTCAACGAGTAGTTAGTGAAACTATAACTATAACGAGTAAAACCAGTGTCCATATTTTTGTTTCTCTCCATTCAAAGATTTTTTAAAAACAAATAATTAAGCCAGTTCTGAACAATATGAAATAGTGTAGACTCTAATAAACCCAAGTTGAAATCAATCTATAGCCAACTTGGTGAAATAAGGGAAGATGAAGTCTTTTGTGCCTCAAAATGAATGCAAACAACATATATTTTGAGGAAATTTGCTCAGTCCTGTTGAAAAGACTGAATCTTTAAAAGCATTACATGTTCTTGTTGACTAGAACAGCTGCTGTCTTACTTGTCAACGATGGACATTCATAGTTTAAAACATGAAATACCATGTTCTGTATTCTACTAAGATAAGGTTTTACTTCTCTATAAAAATGTCTGCATTTTAGAAGATTTAGGAAGCAGCGCTGCTTCGACTTTCGACCCTACCTAATTTGGGCGACATAGGGTTGGGTGTTTGATTTCAATTCATCATCATCTTCCGGTGCCTCGCCGACTCCCATGGGCGATCATTTACCTCCGCTACATTCTGTCTTACGTTGCAGGGATGGTGCCTTGCTGTTCCCAGCCATGTTGTCAACCTGTCCAGTATCTTTTCCGTCTATCTGCCTCTGCCTCTCTTTCCATTGTACTTGCCTGTTGTTACAATATTCTCCAATGCCTCTTTCCGCATAGTGTGTCCAATGAAATTTGTTCTTTGCTTTTGTGTGTTCGTCATAAGCTGTTTTGTGCAATTTGCTTCAGCCAAGACTTCTTCCTTTGTTTTTCTAGCTGTCCATTGGATACGCAGTATGTGTCTTGTGAACCACAACTCTGTCGCCTCAATTGTTCTTTCCAGCTGTCTATTGATTGTCCATGCTTCGCACCTATATGATAGGATTGGCTCGATGTAACTTTTCAGTACTTTTTTTCTTGTTTCCAGTGACAGATTGATGTTTGTACGTTCAATTACGGAAACCAAAGTAAACACCTCCTACTTACACTGGAAAAGGCAATGAAGAGAAGACGGGAGGGTTATTCCCAGATTACATTACCCCCCCCCCCCCCTTAAAAAAAAAAAAAAGATTTAAAGAAAAACAACAAGGAAGCTGAAAAGAATCCAAATCCTCGTTGCAAGATTCTAAACAGCTGCCTCTGAAAATGCGGTTTTTGCTTTTTGCCTGCTTTCTGACTGACATCACGCAACACATCCTATAAATAACTTTCAGTCAGATTAACCTATCCAGAGAGTCGCTACACTGCAACAACGTTGGTTCTAAACAGCTAAAATATGTACAATAGCCTTGCACTTTAGTACCCAGTTAGCCGTTTAGAAGGGGTCAGCACTTTAGTTTTTCCCTGTCTTGAAAAGTTTATAGAAACAAGTTAGCCATTTAGAACAGGTCAGAATTTTTTTCCCTCTGCTATGTAAAGTTTACAGAAACAAGTTAGCCGTTTAGGACGGGTCAGCGAGGAAGTGCCACCAACAGTAGCACTTACCACAGCGTCTGCAGCAGGTGCTCCCTCAAACAAGTCTCCCTGGGACACCTGCAACATGAGAAGATTGCTTACAAAACGTGTATGTTCATGCCCAGCCATGATCAAGAAGCAGGAGCTTGCTGAGCACATAATATATGATAAACACCTATAACGTAGAAGTATTATAATCGTTTATTCTAAATAAAAATGCGCAGAGAGGAATTCATGATGATGGCCAGAGAAGAAATAATTAAAAAACATCAAATGGTGATTTTTTGAAAATGTACTTAAAGCTTAAATGACTGCGGCCGTTATACTTAGTGTAGCGTATTGACAACACATTTATGAAATTAATTTTCTTATAGATTATAAGACTGAAACTACTAACTAAAAGTTCGCCTGGAACAACCTTCATAACGTTAACACATCAAACATCAATTTTTTAAAACTTTAAAAGCAGTCTGTCTAAGAAGGAGCATGCATAAATTAAAATAAAAACCAGGTTGGAAAGGCAAAAAAACTTTCATGACATTTTTAATAAAGATCTGTAAGTTTGTTAGCTTTTAATTATTGAATTTAACAATGATTTTCATGCTCTCTAGTGGATATTTCAAAGCTACTTTTTTCTTCTGAAACATTTAATCGATGCCAGCGACTGAGTTCTAATCACAGAATTTCATAGTACTTTTTAAACCTCAACACCAAACAGTACAACGTGTATCTACTTACCCCCCCCTAAAAAAATAAAAATAAATAAAAACCTTTACCAGCGGGAAAGCCTACAATTCCGTGGGTAAAGGTTTTTTGGGGGTCACCTGGTATATGCAGCACAATAAATTTGATGATGAACAAGACGACAAACATTCTAGTTCTCACTCTGACAGATTCTGAGTAGTCGTCAAAGACTTCTTGCCACGCTTCAACCATCGCTTCTTTGACATCACGAAGGTAATAGACAACATCCCAATCGTTTAATATGCATCCTGCCATCTGAAAATTAGGAATTATTTTAGTCTTTCAGACCTTTTACAAACCTTTACACACTTTTTTAAAGCCTATTAACGACAATATTTCTGAAGTCCCGTACTGTGATCCATGTAAATAATTTGACACAAAATTATATCCGAAGACTCGAATCTATGGCAGATGTAAACGTTTCTACTTTTTCCATCAAAGTAGAAAATTATGCAAAGGTAGGTCTAGGCTATTAATAAACAAATCCTCAGGTTCTTTGGAAACAAAATCTGCAATTGGAATTGTCAAAATTGTAAGACAACTCCTTTCACTCTTATGTGATCTAAACTCCCAAGCCAACACAACTCTGCAGTGGATACCAGGTCACTGTGGCATTCATGGAAATGAAAAAGCAGACGACTTAACCAAAGAAGGAGCCAAAATGACCCAGATTGAGGATGGCATGGTTCTAATAAAATCAGCCATAAGAAACAGATGGAAACGATCCCACCCTAATCACAACAGACGTGACCCCTACTACACGATAAATAGGGCAGACCAGTTAACAATCTTTCGACTCCGTTGTGGCCTACAACAGAGTCAAATACCATATGCACACTAAACTAAAAGTGGGAGAGTCCGCGATCTGCGAACGTGGACACGACCAAGAGGATGCCAACCACACCCTTCAGCACCTCGCGCGCTTCGCCACCCTTCGTACACAGACGTAGCAGAATGTGACTCCTCTTGAGAGAAAGTTCTGTGGCAGTCTCTCAAATTTGAAGCGGACTGTACAGTTTGTGCGCGACATCGGACTGTCTAGCTGCTGACATCGAGAACAAGGAAGAAGAAGAAAAGAAGTCAAAGACTGCTTCCCGCATTGTCAAGGAGAAATTTAGTTGTCTTACACAGGTGGACGTCTTGAGCAATACAGTAGTCTCCGCCTAAGATCCCGGTGCTCGGAATCAAGGAAAATGCAGGGTCTTAGGCGAACGGGATCTTAGCCGACGAACCCAGGGAAAAATTTACAGTCGCCCGTGTTAAGGCCCACAACCGGTAAAATGGTCTCTCTCTACTCTAAAATGAACTGAATTAAGCGGCCCCTAGGTGGGTTTATTATATATGGCGAGCAAAAAGTGGTCAAACTCGATGACCAATCACAGTGGCATGAGGCATGCCCTTTACACTTATTATCCTATCGTCAGTCTCAAGATCTACACTTATCCAGTTGCCCCTCCCCTTTACCTGTCCCAAATTAATAGCTTTCCATATCTGATCGAGTTCCCCCGCCTTCGTCGTTACCCACCATTACGTTGGGACCATACCAATTAAAATTCAGTCTGTCTCACAAATTCGGGAATTGAGAAAACTGCAGAAATTGTCAGGGAAGAGTTCGAAGTGATCCCACTTGGAGCGAACTTGTAGGCCATATCCACCCAGCGAGTGACATAAGTTTCGGTGGAGAGCTCAGATGCGAGTGCGATGTTTGGGGAAAAGAAACGCGTCGGTCAGTTCACACCTCGGTGTGATACCGTCGGTGGCAAACATAGTACCACTTCATCGAGTTTTACAACGCTTATGGTAAGATTCACGAGAGTGGCTGAGCTTTGAAATTATACTTATTTGAGTAGATCAATAGGTCTGCATTTTTTTCTCTCAGATTTTCAAAGTCACCTTCAATGATTTTCAAGGCTTTCCACCACTAAGTTTGGTCAAATGTTGTAATTGGTGTTTTGTTGTGTTGTTTTGCT